GACTGACTGGTTTTAATTATAAAATGAAATTACCATTAAGTCTTTTGTCAAGGTTATTTGGAGTTATATTCAGTCCTATTGAGACTGAGTAGTATTGTCTGCACTAGTCGGGACTTCAATAATATGGCCGCTGAGGGTTGTCCTTTAAGTTGATTGACACCCAAGCAGCCAATATAAATGGGATGTGTGAGTATGGGCGGTTACCCTGATGAAGTCACGTGATATTCGTGACGTAACGTGTTGGTACGTCCATCGTCATTTCCGGAACGCGGTGACGTCATTTCCGGCACCCGCGCCATATTGGGACTCCATGAAGCCACATGTCATGAGGACAACTGAGGATGTTTGCCGTTACCTGCTAACATGTGAGTGGGTATTTTAATTTTTATTTAAATAAAATTGACAACATTGTACTATGGAGCCTGTTTCCTTTGTGTCTCTGAGTGGACCCTAGAGGTGTTGCCAGAGCGGTGGAGTGCAGGAAGAGGTCTGGATAAAGCTATTGTCATTCCAGTCATATTGAGGGGATATGCATGAGATTGTCTGAATACTAGGAGAAAACGCTGGTTGGCCCTTGAGGTCATTGCAAGGAGGTGAGGGGGCACTCAGACCATTTTGGGATTTGTTTGGCACGTATGACACATCCACGTGTATGAAGAGTTTTCTCACCTGTGTGCTTAAAGTGGACTGATTCATAACCCTTTAGTCACCTATTAAGTGCGTGGCACTTTGGCACCTTGACATCAGTGATTGATATATGTTATTCTATGTTATATATATCTACTTAGGGGGTTCATTCACCCATACAGTTTTGACTTATTTATTTGCATGTATTTTCTGAATGCTTTTAGTGCTGGCTGTATATATTAGTAGCGCTGCACCATTTATATTTAATTTTGGATTAAGGTATTTATTGGTACACAGTAGGTGCTAGCAGCTTTGTATTTGTTAGGGCCATCTAAGCGCAGGGGCTTTTTTCACTATTATGGCTAGCTTTAGTCTACAAAAAAAGATTGTTGGAAACAATGGTAGCTATTTAGAGTAAAGCACAGGAAGTTATCAGCTTGCAAGTTTAGTAGCTGGATCAAGGGGTATTTTTTGCACTTATACAAATCTAGCAAAAAAAAAAAACATTTAGTGGTATGTTTAATATACTGAAACCAAGCAAGTAAGGGAAAAGGTTTACATACACTTTGATTGCAAACATTCCTGGTTATATATATGTATACTGCATGAACACTACAAGGTGTGCTCTTTGCTTCCTTTCACTAGTGAGCCTTTATGGACATCAGAAAAAATTGTCCCCCTATTATCACCTCTGTAGTTCAGAATGCAGGTTCTGTGAATCTTGTGACACAGCTGTGTCTACGCATATGGCAGTGTAAATACTTTTACAAACATCAAGATCATTCAGATTAATAGGAGTAGTAGACTATAAACAGTCAATATGTGAAAATGAAAACAATGAAAGTAAAATTTGGGGACCATAGAAACAGTTTAATCGTACATTATGGGACACAAGAGAAGAGATCCAGAATATTGGGATGCCCAAAAACAGTCCAACCTAGGGGTTAGCAGCTGAACAAATGAAAGGCTAACAGGCCCACAAAACCAACAGGTTAAGAGAGGTGGCTCAAAAAAGCCTAAAAAGCCACCTGAAGAATCTTACAACCAAAGAAGACATCAGCTGAGGCCTGCACCTTCACCTGCTAAAATGTAATGAACTAGTATACAGAAGACCTTAAGGTTCAGCCTTAAAAAGAGGAGAAACAGATACCAGATGCTGAAAGGCCCAAGAAGCACTTACTGATCTAGGGGAGTGCGTTTCGACAGGGGAAAGTGGGAACCTTATTCCTGAGGTCTTAAACTTGAATTACGAGCTGACGAATCCACTTAGTGCTAGTGTAATGTGAAGCAGGCTGCCTCCTATAGGGAACTTTGAAAACTACAATCAGAGAGTCTGACTGTCGAAAGGTAACTCTAGCTGAGAGATAAACTCAAACAGTATACACCACATCTAGAGAATGTACAGTAATCTGTTTAGCATGTTTTGGAGAAATACAGAAAGATGGTATAACAATGTCATGTTTAAGGAGAAGGGAAGAAACCACCTTGGGAAGAAAGAGGCCCCTGATGGCAAAACAACCTTGTCTTTGAGCAGCACAAGACAAAGTCTCTTATAGTTTAAGGTGACCAACTCAGAAACTTCCCTCACAGAAGTGATGCAGAAGAAGAAAAGAAACCTCACATAGTTTTTTTTCCAACAAGTTTCTTACACCCACACAAGGGAGGTGGATGCTCTAATCCCCCTGCTCTGCTATTACATTGTGACAATGGAGACGCCTCTGCTATCAAAACACACTGATCAGCGGCAGCAGCCATTGGCTGCCGCTGCTGATCAATAAATTGTTTTCAAGCTGGGTGATTTGACTGGAGCTGACCTAATGATTGGCTTCTGTCAAACAGGAAGGACCACACAGAGATCGAAATGTGACCAGTTCTTGTTGAATTTTGATCTCAGTGTACCAGGTTTAGGGATAGACAGAGGAATATCCCTAATGGGTTCAAAGTGCTGTTTCTAAAGAACTGACAGAACCAAGTTGAGATACCACAGAATAACTCTGGTCTCTGTGACCAAGAAGCAGGGAGGTAAACCAGCACTTTAGACAGATGATCCAGATAATCTAGAAGGACTCAAGGAGGGTCTACCAGGAGCACAAAAAGGCCAAGTTTGTTGCAATGAGAATTGCAGAGATGTCCTCAATCTCCTTCCTGTGGAGCATCTCATTCCTCTTAGAGGGGAAAAGGTGTAGACCAAGTTGAACTGAGCCACCAGAGCATCCAATGTAAATGCTAGAGGATTGCTGGATCTGGAGATAATCCTTCTGAGCCTGGAAGCCTGAAAGTCCATGTCCAGTGCCCCCCCACCAGTAAGAGAGATTTTGTAACACCTCGGGGGTGAACAGCTCTTTCATCAGAGTGAAGATGTTTAGGACTAACAAAGTCTGCCTGCCAATTTTCCACACTAGGGACATGCATTATGGTTAGAGCTGGATGTTAATTTCCTCTCACACCAGAGTCATCTCTTTGAGCTGCAAGACTTTGATGGGGGGATAACCTTCCTTCAATTACCACGTACCTTGTACCAAAAGGGTATCCAGGATTTCTCCCCAGTCCAATAGACTGATATCCATCATGAGAATGTTTCAAACCTCTGGGAGGAAGGACTTTCCTGATTCCAGCACCATGCTAGGGCAAGCTAGGTCCTGCTGGTCAGGCGTATGGGACAATCTAGAGACTGCGGCCTCTTGCCCATACCGTAATGTTGAAATGCAATGGTCTGAATTTGGATTAAACATAGGGAACTTCACTGAAATAGCAAACCATTAGCCCCAAGAAAAATCATGAAAATCAGAGGGTCAGTTGGCTCCAGGACTGTGGAGTCTGAACCTGGGAGCAAAGAGCTTGGAGTTTGTCTTGAGGAAGAAAAATCTTGGACAGGATCAGCCCAGATACTCCAAGTGAAGAAACAGGTCCAGCGCTAACTTCTGGACATTTAGGATCCCCCTAAATCCCTGTAGAGTCTGCATGGTCCACTGAACATTGGCTGTCAGAGACAGCTGTTCCCTCAAAAGAAAGTTGTCCATATATCCCATTATAGTGCTGCCCTGGGAGTGAAAAAGACTTAAGGTATAGTATATGGTAATATTGCATAACCACAGCAAAACACAGGTAACGTGATATGCAAGGAAGATGGGGACATGCATTAGGCATCCTTATTGTTCAAAAGGTCAACATGTTACTTGGATGGAGGAAATAAATGTCTGATCTGAAGGATTCTATTCAGAACTTTTGTATCCGGAAATCTTTAGATCCAGTATGGGGCAGAAGCTCCCTTTTGCCTTATGCATGGTGAACAGGTTTGAAGAGAAACCCTGTAACCTCTTCTCTGGAACGATTATAATCCCTTGGGAGAGGAGCTGCTCTAGAGTAGTGTGTAGGTCCCCCAGCCTTGGTTTAGATGTTCACAAGTTTGAGAACATAAAGTGGGGTTGAGGCAGAGACTGAAATTCTAGCGAGATAAAACATTCTGGACTTAAGCATCTGAAATGTTTCCTAGGCCATATGGCCATGAAGGTCCACAAATATCCGCTGACTTTGGCAAATGGAGGCATCCTCTGATTGAGAGTCTAGGTTTTATGGCAAAATTAAGTTCAGTGGACCTGTAGGCCTGAAAGAAAGGAAATTATTTCAATCAGAAGGTTTACTTGAGTTTTGCTATCTTTTTCTGGGGAAAAAGTACTCTATACTCCATCACAACTTTAATAATGACGTCCAAGTATTTGTCAAAAAAAGGTGTTCTCCTACAAAAGGCAACTGCAAAAAGTGGTTCTTGCACTAAAGCATCACAGACCAACATTTGAGCCAAAGGGTCCTCTATGTATGCACCGAAAGGAGGCCCATTCTGGATAATTGGAGAATCATATCCACTAGCCTACACAATAGTGAAGGGCCAGGTCAGGAGCAACAATTGTTGGAGGGTAGAAGGATTCATCAGTATAGATCCTGGATCTCAAGTCATAGCCTTGGACAAAACAGCTAGAAAAAAAATCCACTTCATGTAAGGACTGACAAGCTACTATAAATTAAACTTTTTGCTTTGGGATTTAGATACACTTTAAGAGACATATTTTCAAAACGGTGTCCCTGACAGTCACCAAACATTCACTGAAGGTGAATCTTCCTGGTGAATGTGTTTTCATAACAGTGATAGATTCACCACTAGAGAATGTTTAGTGAAAGTGGTGAAAAGGTGAAAAATCTATTCACATAATATTTTTCTTATCATATATAACTTTTTAAAAACTGTATATCTCTTTTTCTTTGTGCCCGACTGCTCCTCTTTTCACATACTTCTGAAAAGTTTAACCTTATGCATTACACAACCCATCATTACCAAAGTATGATACCAAAGGGCAATGCTAGAATGTCATACACACCAAGTACATCAGGGTTTTTTATAAAAATAAGAAGAATGTAGGTCAGTGTTGAGGCTGTAGTCTCCATGCCAGCATAGAAGATCTGCAGAGTGCTGTTCACCAGGTTTTTGATGTTATATTCAGTGCTGGGGTTATTCTTCTCCTAGAGAAAATTCAAGGAAATATATGAATTTATATTTTGTATTAATAACTTTAGAGACCTATTTGATTACATCTAATAACCTCAGTAGCACCCACTACAAGCTAAAATATCAGGTGTGTAAAATGAACTTAAAGAGACACTCATGTAGGGCAAAGTGATATGGTTTCTACAAAGGTCATCCGCTGACCCCCTTATACTGACCATTCTAGTGCCCCCTTGCATCTTTGGAAGGAGAATAGTACATGTCAAATTTCAAAGGACAGGAAATGAGGAAAATTATTTCAGTCAGGACACCCACATAGGTGACAACTGTCTAAGTCAGAATTTCCTTTCACTTTGGATATATATCCCCACTTTTTGCAGTGTCTCTGGCACAGGAAGTGAAGGGAATTATCTCCAATAGGCCACAGACCGCACCAAAAACTTTTTGGGAGGTTTCTAACCATGCCTTACAATACTGAAAACTTAAAAGTCTACAGGTACACTTTATGGACTGGGTATTGTTTTTTTGCCTGGACATCATGTTTCAGGACCTCTTCCCTGCCATGTATAGCTTTAGGCCGATATTGAGAACACTCTATTTTGCTCTGTTTTTTAGTAGAGTACTGGAATGATAGAACCACTGTTAGCTTTTAATTTCTGTATCCCTGTTGCAGATTTCTCTCACTGCCTATCCAGTGAAACCTTGTCCCCATGGCAGTAAATCCCAGAACCCAGTTAGCTAGTATAATCAATGCAATGTCTGATCAGTAAAAAGTTACCTCTAGCTATGAGAAAAAAATATTTTGTTTGAGACCCTCTCAATCCAATGGAAATTTTTTTTGTATACCACAGGTCTATTGTATACAGTTTAAGGGTTTGTTCACACTTGACTTCTTCCCAAATGCGTTAACGCTCCCCCAAACGTACCCCAAATGCCCTATGCGCGTTTTTGAGGTGTTTCATAGGCATTTTCCAAGCGTTAAAACCGCACAACAAACAAATATAATGAAGTTAATGGTAATAACGCCTCGCAAATGCCCCAGAAACACCTGCCAGGAGTTTGAGGAGCGTCACCATAGACTTGAATGGGAGGCATTGAAAGGCTTCAACTCCCCCTGACTCGACATAAGGCATCAATTTTTCTGCGATGCTAATACTTCAGTGTGAACAGCACTGTGTGCTACCATGTGTATAATTTTCATAGGCGTTTGAGGAGTGTTAAAAACGCTCCTCAAACGCCTGCTTACAAAGCTAGTGTGAACTTAGCCTTACGCTGCAAGGGTTGCAAAGGCAGTGAGTAATAACTATTGCAATCTGCATGGCTGGGCTGTTTTATGAATATCATAATTATACTGTTAAAGTGGTTGTAAAGGGTGAAGGTTTTTTACTTTCATGTATTCTTTGCATGAAGTTAGAAAACCTTCTGTGTGCTTCTCCCCCCATCGCAAGCCCTAATACTCACCTGAGCCCCTTCTTAATCCAGCAATGTGCACAGGAGCCCCAGTTATTCTGGGTCTCTCTCTGTCAATCTAAGCCAGTGAGCCAATGAAGAGAGAGTGGGGGACGGGGGCCGAATCATGGCCTTTTTGTGTCTTATGGACGCATAGAGCGGGGCTCAGGAGCAAGCATTCACCAGCATACGGCTTGCTATTGGGGGCATTGGAGAAGGGGTTGGAACAAGGACCACCGGAGGGGGAACTGAGAAGAAGAGGATTAGGGCTGCTCTGTGCAAAACCATTGCACAGATGAGATAACTATGACTTTTTTTAGCTTTAATAGCACCTTAATTTTATACTAACTTCAGTACCCCTTATTCACCTTTTCCATTTTGATTAGAAAAGCATCCACATAATCTCTGGGGTTATTCAGATCCAGAGTCTCCTTGTTCTTCTCCACTCTTTTCCTTACATAATGCAAGAGCTTCTGCATATTGGATAACATGGTTTGGTGTTTTCCTGGGATTAACATCATGATTCTGGGGAACATTTCAAACATCTAAAGGAAGTAAATTGAATATCACATGGTAAATTACATATGATGAGTAGATTGCATGATTAATATGTATACACAGTGTTTTTGTACATTTTCCTTATTATGTTCATGGCTGGAGATATTTTTTTTACATTTAGCTATGTAAATGTAGCACTACCCCCTTCGGAGTTGCTGAAGATTGGGTTCCCCTATAGTCCTGCACAGCCAGGCAACACGCATTTTTTATTAGAGGATTTAAACTTGGGTGTGGTAAGGGGTGTATGGGATGTCCAAGGGAACATCAACTTTGGATAAATTCCCGCAGCTATGTACAAGTCCTTTCAGACAAAAACCCTCTTCATGGAGAGCTAGCCAGCCTCTCCAAGTGTACTACCCCAGACACTGGATAATCCTCTTCAATACAGCTGACTGAAGGAATCCCTAGGCAGGGGATCCAGTGTCACCTCAATGTGAAACAGTCACGGATATAAAGCTAATCCCACTAGAGTGCCTCGGGTGCAGGGGGTGCAGGTCTTCTCACTCAGTCCTCTGCCTATGAGCCAATGGGTTGGTGACTGCTCTCAGACCTTCTGCTGGGCCTCTCCTTGCCTGCTGCAGAGGAGGTCATTGCCCTGGGGACCAGTGAGGTCCTGAGCTTTCCTCCTTTCCAGAACTCTTGAGTGTAGATGGGCCCCTTCCCAACCGGGCCTCCCCCTAGGCTCCTGCTCTTCAGCCTCTTACTCATCTTCCACCCGAACTTTCCTGCTACTGAGCAGGCTCGGTCACTCTTAAGGGCTGTCCTGACCCCATGCCAAGCCTCCTGTTGGGGATTGGTCTGGATCCCTCAAGAGTGCAGACCAGCTCCCCCTCACCAACCCCTCACTGAGTTCTAGACTCCTCTAAGTCTCTAAATAAGGGGAGGGTGTCAGGGAACTGTGCTGCAGAGTCTCTCAGCCCTGACCTCAATTCAACCCAGCTAACTATTACACTCGGGCTGCTACTCAGCCCTCATTACTACAAATTGAACTCTAGCTCCCCCTAGCTATCTAGGAGGTTGCTACATTGAAAATATTTAATATGAACATTTGAAATTTACCCTGTTTACCCAATAGGCAATCTCCATAATTTTCTGTTTTCTGAAGTTCTTTTATTCTGTAATAAGAGTAATTTAATCCTCTGTCAAATTATTTTTAAAGCCTAAATTTTCATTTTTTAATTTTGTAGAGAGTAGGGATTGGTGAAACCCTTGTCAAGTTTGCATTTGCTGTCTGCATTTGTTGCAGAGGTGAGCCTTCTCTTTATGTATCAGAGACAAAGCTGAAAGAGAGAGCATAGAGAGTATAGAAAATTATCTTTTAGATAGTTGCCATTGGAACAAATGCCCTCCATGGAAGAATTCCCCATTATGCCTGCCCTAGTGATAACTCATATTTTTTGATTTGCTTTTTGATATGCTATGACAGTGGTCACTAGTAGGGATGTCCTTGATGTTCGAGTTGAACATAAGTTCTACTCAAACATCGGGTGTTCATGTTGCTGTGTGCTGTTCGCCGCTGCTCCCCGTAATACACTGGTTGTTACCAGTGCATTGTGATTGGCCAAAGCAATGCACCTGACCACAGGTTAGCTGCAACACTTTGGCCAATCACAGCACAATTTGACGGAGCTAGCAGTGATGTCACCACTAGCTCCACCCAGTTGTTGACATCTGACTGGCAAATGTTAGATGCGGCGAGTGTGAGTGTGGATGGGTCTGCTGCTGTGGGTTTTTTTTTTAATTTCAGCACGTTGTTGTGACAATGCTGGACGCCATGACTGACGATTGATTATATTGATGGAACCATTTTTTTGTCTTTTTATTAAGAACTTGTCAAAGGTGGCCCCGGGTGACCCCATCCCGTTTTTACATCATCGACCCAGAAGTCACCGGGTGGCCCTGTGCCATAGATATTTAAGAAATGTCAGGTGGGTGGAGCTGTCAGATAGTGGGAGCCAGCGTCAAGAGCAGAGCCTTTTTTGAGTTGGCGATGGAGGTGGGCATCGTGGTTGACATTGGATCTACTTCAAGGGACATTTTTTTTTTGTTTTTGTTTTTTGTTGTTTTATTAAAGGACTTACAAAAGACTACTGATATTTATTACACTACACTTTTTTTTTTTTATGTGAATGAGTAGTGGTACTATGTACCCCATCAATATGGGGACAAGGTGCTTTGATGCGGGAGGGGGGCTCCCCTGTCCCAAAGCACCCCCCATGTTGAGGGCCTGTAACCTAGTATGGTTCAGGAGGGGGGATCTTGCTCCCCCCCTTTCCTGATCTGCCGGGCTGCATGCTCAGATAAGGATCTGGTATTGATTTTCGGGGGAACCCGCACCATATTTAAAAATACATTTTGGTGTGCGGGTTCCCCTCAAAATCCATACCAGACCTGGAGGGCTTGGTATGGATGGGAGGGGAGGAACCCCACACCATTTGTTTGCTAAATTTTTAATTGCCAGCAATTCTTTTTACTTTCGTTAGGTTCGAATGTTTGACCGCGAACCGAAAAGGGGGGTGTTCGGCCCATCACTAATAAAGAGGATGAATCTTCCCAACAGGTGCACAGATAGCAATAAAAAGCTGTTGGGAGTTCTATTCTCTTCCCTAGAATAGGATTTGGAATGCACTTTGAGCTCTATTTAAAGAGAGAGCTCCCTGAGAGTCCCAAAATTTTTATGTAAATCCCCAACAGTTAAACATATGCTACAAATGTGGAATCAATAACAAAGTAATAAAATTAAGACTTTCTATATAACTTTTTTCCTGATTCTGGTGAAGCTCTGATATTCTGATAAAGCTCCAAATAAGATTTTCTGTGGCAGGAGTAAAAAATCTGGTATTCCTTTCTGTGTGTCATGTGCCAAGGGTTGGTGCTAGACTATTTTGTGCCCTAGGCAAGACCAATTACTTTGCCAATCCCCCCACCCCCCACCAAAAAATGTTTAAAAACAGTAGAAAATATTAAATCAATAAAACATGAAACTGCTAAATTTCTTTTAATTTGCAAAAATAAGTTTCATAAGATGACACCAGCACCAATACTAAAGTCAAAATCAGTGCCGCGGATGGACTATCTGTGGCTGGCAGAGGCAGGGTGACAGTTGCAGTAAGTGGAGGATATTGGATCCACACTCTGACAAATCCGAAGCTGGAATTCTCCAGGAAATGGGGGGAGATAAAACGATGTGACAGCAGGCAGCCCAGCCCACAGACATGCAGATCAGCAGGCCCAGCTAGCACTAGAAGAGCAGGCTGTGGGATCATGATGATGTCATCACTCGCTGACACATTACACATGTGATGGATGGCCAGCCGGGTCACACTCACACTGACACGAGATATCAGAGTCAGACATTACCTTTCTCCGCAGGTGCAACTCCGCCTCCACTGATAAATGGGAAGAGAAGGGCTGGAACTCGACAGTGATCAGCAGCCACCAGGCAGCTTGCAGTAAGGGCTGAGTCTGAGAGAAACACTGGAAGGAGCAGCAGCTCAGCTGCTACACTGGCCCCACACACCTGACATATTCCTCTGTCCTTTCTTCCTGCCCTCGGCCATCCCTCCCTTTAGCTGGAGGATCATTCATGACGTGGCAGCATCCTGAACAGAGAGAGTGCCAACCTGAGCTGCACCCAGGCATCCCTAGGTGGTAGTGCGCCCCAAGCGGCTGCCTAGTTTGCCTAGTGGAAGCACCAGCCCTGCATGTGCCATAACCAAAATATATAGTATATATACCCCGATCAGCCATAACTTTACGACCAGCCACCTAATATCGAGTAGGTCACCTTTTTGAGACCAAAAGAGCCCTGACCCGCCGAGGCATGGATGTCAGTAGATCTATGAAGGTAGGCTGTGGGCCTCCATGGATTGGACCTGTTCTTCCAGCACATCCCACAATGCTTGATTAGATTGAAATCTGGATAATTTGGAGGCCAAGTTAACCCTTCAAACTTGTTGTTTTGTTCCTCAAGCCTCCTTGAAGCATTTTTGCAGTGTGGCATGGCGCATTATCGTGTTGAAAGAGACCACTGCCATCAGGGAATACTATACTAAAGGGGTGTACTTGGTCAGTAGCAATGTTTAGGTAGGTAGTACGTGTGAAGTAACATGCACAAGAATAGCAAAACCAAAGTTTTCCCAGCAGAACTTTGCCCAAAGCATCACACTGCCTCTGCTAGCAGGCCTTCTTCCTATACCGTATCCTGGTGCCATCTTTTTCCCAGAGAAACAACAAATACACATCAAGCCATCCACATGACGTGAAAGAAAACATGATACATCAGACCAGTCCACCTTCTTCCACTGCTCTGTGGTCCAGTTCTGAGGCTCACGTACCTACTGCAGGTGCTTTTGTCTGTGGATACAGGTCAGCATGGGAACCCTGACTGGTCTACAACTATGCATCCTGTGATGAATGCGGTGTCCGACCCATGCCTTTCTCACCAATTCGTGACAAATGACTGGCCAATTTCACACTACGCTGTCACATATGTAACCATGCCACTCTCAGCTGTACCCTGCAGAAAGATCTTCTGGCTTGCAGAACCATGATCTAGGTGCCAGGGGCCTAAGAGTGATTGTCGCTGAGTTAAGTTAATTAAGCAATTAACCTTTTAAACGCTACCATTGCCTTTTTACTGAGAAGGAGGAAATTCAAAATCTTAACAATAACAACTATGATTTTAGAATAAACACTGCAACACACACTGTCACCACAGACAGGTATGTTCAGAGAAATGTCATACAGTAGCACTATTCAAAAGACAGGGATTCTTTTAGTTTGCATTAAAAGCCTTAGGGACAGTTTTAACACTTTTCAAAATAAATTTAATAATGAAAAGGTCAAAATGGTGCAAATAAAATATTTCCAGAAAAAGGGTGCTACAAAGAAATAAAGTTCAGTCAATAAAGAAGGTTTTATCGGCTTTCATAACTTTACAGGTGTTCTTTCGTTGATGGT